TTTTGCCATCTTAATTAATGCTGTCAATTTTAACTCATCAACTTCAATCAGTTCTTGATAAATATTGCAAACAGCTTTACTATCTTTTAAATTATTTGTGATGCTTAAAGCATAATCTTTATTTTGTTTTACACCACATCCATGAAAATAACAAAGTGCTGAATAATATGTAGCTTGAACGTAGATTTTAATTTTACTTTCATTTTCATTGTTAGTGTTCGAATAATATTGATCCGTCATTAGATCTTTAAAAACAGAAAAAGCTACGTCATATTGTTTTTTTTTGGTATTTATCAATGAGCCTAAAAAAGTCCGAATGCTCCTTTTCATTCATATCCTGACTTTAAATTAGAAAATAGAAAAATTTTATGTTTTTGAAAAAAGTGTGAGGTTAAAGTCTTTTTAAAGTATCGCATACCAATATTAATTTTTAATTAAAAAAATCAATAACATACCCAATACAAAAATTCGATTACATATACTGTATATATAAATATTCAAAGTTTAATGCTTTCAGCGTTAAACTTTTTGTTCGGATAATTATACAATACAATAGTTAATGCAGTATTTAGAAACAATTTGCTTGGCTTATACTGGCACTCCCCAAATGCTAATTTTGTCGGAAACATTGCTTTATTCATTTTTTTTCATCTTATGCATTTCATTAATTCATATTTGCATCTTGTGCAAATATATTGATTCTCATCACTAGCAATTAAGTGTACATTTTGCTCAAAAAAGATACAAAGTAATTTTAAAAAATTAATTTGGTTATTCGAATATTCTTGCACCATTAAATCTATAATATGTAATCCTAAAATTGATATGCTTTAAAAATTTTTATACAATATTAGAAGCTCTTTCAAAGTTGCAATTACTGTAATTAAACTGAATTGTTTTTATCTCAATTGAAATAATTATCGAGGGGAATGTAAATTTCAGATTAGTCATTTACCAATACAATGATTAATAATTTAATTATTACTTTGTAGGTTTTCTGCCTTCTTTTAATTAGTGAATTGTAGACGTAACAGAAACATGTATTGTATTTGACATCAAATTGGTTAGTAATGTTTTCTATGTATTTAATAAAGATTTTATCAATTGAATTTATAATAATTAAGCAGCATGTTTAAGAGCCCACAACAAAAATTGAATTTCTACTTTGAATTCATTTAGAAGCCTCAATTTGTTTAGAATTAACAGTTAATAATTATATTCTGCCAAATCAAAAAATCAAACAATATATAAATAGACATTTTCTTTTAAGTCATATAATTAAGCTTTGTCACAATTAAAAATACTATACATACCTATTATAAATTAAAAATTTACTTTTTAAATATGAATTAATTATCTCCTCCTTATTTGAATAAGTTTATTTACGATAAACCAAAGTTTTTTACGTATTATAAATTAAAATCATTCTTAGTCTGTCAAGAATTTCAAAAAAGATGTCAGTAAACCATAAAACTCTTGATGAAGAGTATGAGGGCCTGTTTAAAACAGGAGTTCGTGCTTACAATAAAAAAGACTACAAAACCTCGTACTGTTGTTTTTTTTCAATTGCAAATAGAAATTCAAAATTCAAATATGATGCAAAATTTTATTTAGCAAAACACTATAAAAATAAGTTAGGAATTTTTAAAAATGATGCTACAGCCTTTGATCTTTATTCACAAGTTTCTAATAGTGAGTCAAAATACAAATACGATGCCAAAATTTGGCTAGCATCGTATTTTAATAACGAAAAAGATTACCAAAAAGCTTTTGAATTTTATTTTGACATTTATCGCAGTAAACCACAAAAAATTAGAGGAATTAAATTATTGTTGGCAGAACGTGTTAAAAGTGGATTAAGTGATTTTAATGAAGACAAAAAAGCATTTGAATTTTACTCCGATCTCTATAAAAATGTTCTAAAATACAAAAGTTTTGCAAGAAACCATCTTATAAAATACTATAAATTAGGAATTGGTGTTAAAAGTGATGAAGAAAAAGTTTACAAACTTGAAAATGAAGCTTTAAATTATGAAAATAATATTAACAAATATTATAGCTAAGGAATAACGTAAAAGTCTAAAAAATAGCAAGCAAAACATCAAATTCGTGTTAATAATTTATTGTTTACAAACTTGAAAATGAAGCTTTAAATTATGAAAATAACATTAACAAATATTATAGCTAAAGAATGACGAAAAAGTCTAAAAAATGGCAAGCAAAACATCAAATTCATGTTTATTTATTATTTACCAAACAAACACTTCTTAACGTCAATTGGCAATTGATTTAATTTATTTCTTCATTAAAAACAACTGATCATTTGAAAGATATGAACCTTTGTCAATACTTTCTCATTCTCAAAATCACATTGATTATTGAAAAAATCCATAGAATTTAAAGTTCAATTTAATGAAGTTAGAGAAATTTAAATTTCTGCAATAATATCGATATGATTTTATATTTATCATATCAGATATTTGCGTAATAATTACTTGAGAAAAATATATTTATATTTTTTTCGAACGAATGTGAGAATCGAAACTTTTTTTTATTGTAAAACTGTAGTTTTAATTCGTAACTCTGGTAAACATAATTTTGGTGGTAGAATGAATTCGTAACTCTGGTAAATATAATTTTGGTGATA